ACTACTACCACCACTACTACCACCACGACGACGACTACTACTACTGTCAGCTGCGACTGTCATCGTCACTATACGCGCCACTACCGCTGCCCCTGCCGCTGCCACTGCGAACGCCAGCACAACCACCGCGACAAGACGGGTGCTGTCGGATCTCTTAGCACCGGAGCGAAGAGCAAGGACGAGTAAAACCCAGAAGGGGATTCTTATGTTCGTTGAAGCCTCCTTTTCGCAGTGCTTTCCATGTGTAATGATCCGTAACCCCCGCAGCCCTGCTTCCAGAGCTCGGAGTTGCCAGTTCTTCGTGGACCACTCTCTGATGGGCCTCCTTGTCCATGAGAACTACTTGAATGCCATTTCCAAGAAGCTGCTCTGCCGAGTTGTTATGATTGTGTTTGTGACAGTTTGTGATTGGCCTATGACTTCTGAGCATAAAGAGTGATGTCAGTATTCATGTTGGTGTTGCCGTTACTGTGGGTATGAGATGTTGTGCCAGCATTCGTATTGCTTGTTTTGATGAGATTATTGGTCGGCGCTTGCCGGCTGCAGCATTAGCCCCATCGCTGAGGCCGGTGAACAATGAGTTGCTACAGCGGTGGCTACCTCAGCGCTCGATGTACCACGCTGTCCGTCTTGGAGGGTGCTGTCACTGTTTCAGCGGTATCGCTACCACCACCAAAACTACGACTCGCTACTACTCCCACCAGCACCACCACCACCGCGACCACCGGTCCGCTCTCACTACCATTCTCACTACCACCAATACTACCACCACTGCCACAGCCACTGTCACCACCACTACCGCCACTACCTCCAGAGCAGCAGCAGCTGCTGCTGCTGCTGCTGCACCTCCTACCGTACTGCACAACACCCCTGCTTCTGCTGATGCTGCTGCTGCTGCAACCACTGCTGCTGCTGGGGAAGGTGTGCCAACTCAGCCGACATGATGGCCGTCGGGGACATCATCGGCGCAAGGATAAGGGAGCATCAGGAGCTTTGAGCCCTGCCACTCTTATCTCTCTACTCCTTATCATTCCTTTCATTGTTGTCGTTTTTGGAGGAGTGGAGCCTTCTTCCTGACTTGGGCATCCTGTCTGCCGTCTATCCTGCGTTTACGACCCATGGGCTGCGTCCCCAGAACCCGCGATCCCGATCTGCTTCGAAGATGCGGAGTAGGGCTTGGGGTGTTTCGGGTTTCAACTCTTCAAGTTTGGGTTCAGCGGGCTGCAGACTTGAGATTAGGGCCTGGGGTTGCATCTGTTACTCATCGTTCTTGTCTTGAATCAATCAGAGGTGTTGCCTTTCTTGTGATTACGGCTCGTCGCTACTATCAGGTGTGTTGAGGCAGCCGCTCGCATGAAGGCTGAAGATGTCATACTTGAGGTTCATAGTCAGGCTCTGCAAGGTTTGCTTTTAAAGGTTTTGCCCTCCATGACCTTCCTGTTTGTTACCGAGGCGTCCGTTTTCTGGATTCGCGCATGTGCCTGCGGTTCGATAGCAATTTCTATTCAAAGTGTAAAACGTAAGAAACTCTTAAGAAAATTCTTGCGCCACTTACTCCGTGATGAGTGGAGATTTCCCACGGAGAGACGAGCTTTCGTCTTTGCTATTGAGAGAACAACACAGGTTTTGCAGAATCGGAGGGTCTTTCTGCTGGTTCTCTGCACTAATCGAGAAACAACCGGTAAGCGCGCAACGCGGAGTGCCGAACAGAATCCGTTTTGGGCTTCAGGTGGCTTTCCTGCGATACATATAATATATAGTAAAATAATAGTAGTATAGTGGTTAGAAAAGGGAAGTGGTGAAAGTGAAAGGGCCCGAGCCTGTAAACCCGAGGCCGGGGAGCGCCAAACGAAGCTCTGCCAGGTTTGTGGCCTTTCCCAGCTTCCCAACCTTCCTGGGAAAGTACTCCACACAAAGCAGGCGCAGTGTCAAGTCGGAAAGTGCAAGCTCTGAGTTGCGAACATGACATTTCCGCGCCGCGAGTGTCGGTTCCACATGTGTTATCCCCGTTGTGCCCTTGGCTCAGGGAGTGTGGACTGGACGTTGCTCCAGACTTCACTCGCCAAGCGTGCTAAACGCCCCCCCCCATAAACTGAAGTGTTGCAGCCATGAGAGCGCTTGCGGCTGCAGCTGTGGCACTGATACCGCTCGGTGCCGCAAAGGAAGTCTTCACAGACAACCCGGTCTGCCTCCAGAACCACTGTCACTTGGAGAATCCGACTTGATGAGACCCTAAGGTTTTCTCATTTCTGTTCTTTTCTGCGTGTCTGGCAGTGAGCCGAGGCATCAACCCAGTGTTCCCAGGCCTCGAAGACCTTCATCGACTGAGTAACTCCACGAAGTGGTACTGCACCACCATGGAAGACACAGCACTCTCCATCGGCTTCTGTAAGGGGGCGATTGACTACGACATCGCAGTACCGGAACCTCAGAGTGCCGAAGAGAAAAGTGTGGCAGCTTTGGTCCGAAAGCAGGATCGTGCGGCCAACACCGCTTACTTTACTCACCTGGCTGGACTGGGCAAGGATGCCTGGGACTATCCTAACCCCAAGGATGCGGACGACTGCATCCAGTCCATCTGGAAGATGGTTTGCTATACCTACTTCCCCCGTGCGAAGGCCGGTTGCAGCCGGGGCAGTGAGACGGAGTACATCCGGCCCTGCATGAGCTCCTGCCAAAACTACGTGAAGTCCTGCGCCGTGCAGTGCTGCGATGAGTCGGTGCAGTGTGTGTTTCACCACGAGAAGCCGCTGACGAAAACCACGGTCCTCGCAACTTCCGGCTATGCCCCCCATGATGGGCCCTCGGCCTTTTGCACTGGAGCTGCGCACCGCTCCGCTGGACCCGGCGTGGCCTTGCTCGCGGCAGTGCTTGGGGCTTTTGCGATCGACGGGAAGTCGAGCCGCTTCTGCCTCCTTGCGCTCCTGGCACCACTTGCTCTGACACTTCAGGGTTGCAGCACCTGCGAGGTTCTGGGGCAGGCCATGGGCCAGTTCGTGAACGCTCACACCGTGGGGAACTGGCGCCAGCAGGATGACTACCTGGTGACCTATCAGTTTGTGCCTCCTGGGGCCTCCTCGAGAGAAGCCGTCCTCAACTCCTGCTCTTTGCCTGGACTCTCTCCGACGCTGCAGTGCAGTGGACATGGTGGCTGCCATTCTTGGGAGAAGACTTCTGACAGCAACCCCACCCCATTCTGCAAATGTGATTCCGAGTGGGCCGACCCGGAGTGCCGAACGAAGAGGAAGTCCCAGACCACCGCCTACTTCTTGGCCGTGTTCCTGGGAGTGATCGGTGCAGATCGCTTCTACCTCGGCCTGACCTACTCCGCGTGGCTCAAGCTGATCACGCTCGGAGGTTTGAGCGTTTTCTGGATCACGGAGATTCTGATCACTGGCTCCGCCCCTGTGAATCTTCAGAAAGACCTCCGCAGCTGGTCCGGCATTTGCAAGGTCTTGGTGTTCTTCGCCCTTTCGAGCTGCTCGGTGCCATATCTTCCAGCTTTTCTGCTTCCCGAGTTTGCAATGTGCTGCTCTAACTGTAGGCCTTGCTAGCAAAGCCGCCCTCAGATAGATACTTGTCCAAGTGCAGCCGACATGTCTGAGCTTTCACCAGTTTGCGAGTAAAGCCTTCGCTCCATTCCTCACGTCGAGGTTGGTATGTCATCGACATCGTCCGCACCGGTTCCGCTCCGATTGAGACATCCGGCTTCAAGACGGCACCAGACTTCCCGCGCGAGGCTGGAAATTGCTGATTTCGCCTGCACTGCATGAGAAGCAGAAAGTAAAGTCTTCAAACAGGTTTTCGTGGCCTGCACGGTCAAGCCCTCACTTCCATGCCACCGCTGCCTGGCCCCTACTGCACACTCCTTTTCTGCAACCAAGGTGTTTGTGGCGATGTTTGCTGGATTCTTGTGAGCGTTTCTCAGCGTTGTGAGTGACGCAGCTCTGCAGCAATGGAAGGAACAGAGTCCTGAGCCATCGGTAGACAGAGGGAGACGGCTGTACAAGTCATACCGCACAGGTCACGGCCAAGCGCCGCAACCTTTGGCTGATGCAAGGAACTTCTGGGTGCCTCACCTAAGGGAAAAGTGCTAGGGTGCTCTGCCGTATTTTGCTTGGAGCTGTCTCGCTTAGCTCTTGTTCAACTGCGTGCGGTGGTCCGTGCTGCGTAAGGCCGAGCGTAGGATCACATGGGGAAGGCACCTCGGCTGGTGACGCTGTGTTGTTTCTGTGTTTTGGACCCTAAACCCTAAACCCTAAACCCTCCGATGTTGTTCAACGATGGCCGATGCCCAGGAGCGAAGTCAAAGTCCATGTACGGCTCGCTCTGAGATGCCACCGCGGCACGTGCAACGAAAAGCAGATGACGAAAAGATAACACCGGTGCTAAGCGGTGCTTCAAGTGCACCGGCAAGCTCGGGAGGGGCATTGCTTGATGCTGAGCCTATGTTTTCTTCGTGGTTTTTGCATGTTTCTGCACGTGTGGAGGATGCGGAGACTGGTCACTGAGCTGCAGACCCATCTGAGACTGACGTCAACCGCCAGGCCGGCAAGCTGCCAGGAAGACAGGTGTTGCTCGTATACGGCTGGACCTTGTGCCTTGCCAGCCGCTCTTCTTTGCCCACCTCGCCGTATTTGCAGCTGCTCTACAAGGCACCTGCAGCCTTCACCCTGAAACCTTCTCCTATCGTAGGCGAGGTCGGCATGTCTCATTCGTCCGCTGTCTCTCTTCGAAGATGGAAGACCCACTGCTTCTACAGAGCTGAGCTGAATTGGCAGAAACTGGTGGCACCGCTGCAGACGGCAGATCCAGATGCCCCCGATGAGGCCCTTTCAGGGACGGGAGAGGGGTAGACAGCGCTTGTAGCTTTGTCATGTCTCGACTGGCGTGTGGAAAGCACCCTGGACTATTACAAGCCCGGGGGAGGCTGTGGTGAAGACGGTTGGTGTCCTGGACGCCTATGGCCTCCGCAAGGACTCTGTGCTTGAAGGGGTTGCTTGGAGGTATGAGCGCATTGGGGCACTGAAGGATCACCTCACTGAGCACATCACAGAACTCAGGCCCGGTTTGCGTCGGGTACAACATGTATATACACTGATGTCATGTTGTGCGCAGTGTACGCACACAAGCATACACACATATACATGTATAAGGTGTATGTACGGCGCACCGTTTCGCCGTGATGTATTGAAACAACATGCTCGGAGTTGACCGTTGTGGGCATGTGGTGGTTGCATTTTCGAAGCTTCCTCTGACGTGCTGCCAGCCATGCTCAAGCAGATTACCAAGCATCCCGCCAACCTTACCAGCGGCACGCCGCAGAGGTTCAGTTAAGATGATCCAAATGTTAGATTCGTCGACTTTTGTCGGGTCAACCTTGCCCTGCATCTAACTGACCCTACTGGTAGACCTGTGGCAAGCTTCAGATTCTCTTAAGAAAGTTTTCGTCTCCGGCACGTTGCTCTGAAGCCATGCCGCGAAGACCATGCAGGCGCACTGAGCGTTTCAGGGTCGAGGGTCCCAGGGTCTTTTGTCTCTTGAACCAGACCAGCTTCTCAGAAGGACTCGAGCACTCGTCTCAGGTGACTCTGTCGACATGAAGATCAAGGCACAGCTTGGCGCTGCTGCGTCGATTTTGTTTCTGCCTGAGCGAAGCCAATCGAAGCCAGGTACTCCAGCGAAGCGAGCAGGAGGGGGTCATAACGAGTCTTTCGTATGAAAGAATAGCAGGACGGTTTGGCACTGTTGCAAGTTTTCGTTTAAAACACCTTCTCGTACTTTGTCATTTGTTATGTCATCATCATGGTTGGATACCGCGAAGATCATGACAACGACGATGTGATGCCCCAGGTACGAAGTTTTTTTTCCACCATCTTGTCATTGCGATCTTGATTCGTTTCCTTGTGTTTTGATACCGTTAGATTGAAGATATGGCGGGTGCCTCTGAGCCAAGGGTTACAGTGATTGAGACCTGGCCACCCCAAACCTCGTGTCTCATTGTAGCGTGGAGCGAGGTACCACACATTTGCTGGTCCTTCGGGGTTGCCTTCTCAAGCAAGACTTGGTCTTCCAGTATGACGAGGTGTAGAGTGCAGTGTAGAGTACCTGCTACAACCAGGGATGTTCGAGGGTAACGACCAGGGCGCAGGCAGACACATCTGAGATCTGCGCTAGGACTACCTGGGTGCGACGTCCAGAGACATCACGCGCCACTTTCGCAATGCAGACCCAGACTTGCATCCGTTTGAACGTGCCCGAGAGTACCAGCGGGCTTTGAAGGCGCAGGGCTCAGTGCACGAGGCAGCGCCCCGCCATGTGCTAGTGTTGTGGACTCGCAGGCGGCAAAGTTGGAGAAGATCTTTGCCAAGCCGTTTGTAAAGGCCTTTATCTGCATGACTCCTGGCCGTATGGGTGTGAGCTACTTACTCGGCACGGATGCCAGATACAATCCATGTCCCGAGCTATCTTGAAGCCGTTGATGCACTCACGAGGGCTTGCAGAGAGCACAGTCGTAGGCTTTTTTGAGTGATACTTCCTGAGCCCTAAACGCTAAACCCTAAACCCTAAACTCAGAGGTTGTGGCGTTGTGTTGACCTGGCGGCAGGCGCTTGATGGGCACACGGACTCCGTCAAATGCATGGCGATTGCACGGCGCATGGTTGGACCCTCATTTGGAGAACTTCGAGTGGCAATCGTGTCCGTGCTAGTGAGGGTGTTGTGCTCTCCTATAAGAAGAGCAGATGGCACTGCATGTGCTACTCGTGTTGCGACTTTCCGTGCCAAGAGGCCGCGCCCTTGCTGTGCCGACCTCAGATGTCGAGAGGTTCGCAGTGTCGCAGAAAAAAACAGGCTTTCCAGAATCTCTGAGCAACTTGCTTGGTGCTGGCAACGGAGACGATGAGGAGCGGGAGTTGTGATGGGGAGCTTCGACTTTGGGACATGTCTGCAAGCTCAGCTGCGCCCCTTTTATATGGCCCTGCGCCGCTGACTGGCGCTTCGCTGAGGCAGTATCTTCGCTGCGGGACCTCTGTCACCAAAGCCCATGAGGTGACTTCGACTGCGAGGTTTCAAGGGTTCAGGGCCGCCTGCTCCTGTGCTGCAGCCCAGGGCTTCGTGCGTGGCGTCACCATGAGTCCCGACGGACGAAAGGCATTCTCCTGCGGCGATGACAAGGCGAGGCCCATCCTGTAGTAGCCACACTCAACAGAACCCTGCTGGGCCGGGGTTACATGCCAAAGGAACCAGAAGAAGATTTGCGGAATCTGACACGAGGCTTACCGTAACTACCAGAGACAGGGTATTTGCAAATCCAAACCCTGTAAATTCTAACCTTTAACCCCTAACCCTAAACCCTAATGAACCACCCTGAGCCCTAAACCCTAAGCACTGCTCAAGACACCAATTTTGCCCTCCAAAAGAAGCCTAAATTAGGTCGGGTCTCTTGTGCAAAAAGAGGCAGCCAAGATGTGGAGCATCAAGCCCAAAGCGTGCGTCATCTCGGAGGAAGCAGAGGCAAGGTGATCCTATCACATGGTATATACAATAAGTGCTATATAGTAGTTGACATATAATATACCGATCCTGATGTATATTATATATACAGTATGGTAGTGACATCGAATATATGGTAAGTGGCTCGCGCTGCTGCTGTTCTATTATAGAGCAGGCGGTGTACAACATGGCCTATATTCCAGGGGCAAGGACCTCAAATCGTAGACCATATGGAGAGGCGAGTTCAATGCAACTTGGGACTTTGACCCTTATTGTTGACCCAAGGCTATCGATCACCATTGGCAGCGGCCTATGTTCGTCACGGTTGGAGACACGGCGGCTTGTTGGAAATAGCGACAGTGCTGCAGCGCTCTTTAAGAACCTTAAACCCAGCACGGACGCCTCAGGTGGATGTGTGGGACTACAATCGGTCAACTCCACTGAGCTCCTTCGAGTGGGGTTGCGAGCGGGTCATCACGGCGACTTGCCTGTGATCCTAGCAATCTGTCAGAGTGTAGTCCTGTGTCTGCTAGCGCGATGCGACCGTGTTGTTGGGTTGTTTCAAGGCGTTATGTCATTGTTCCATACAGGGTCTTGCAATGATTTTTGAGACGTTTTGAAGAGAAGCGACTGTGCGGATGCGTGCATGCGTGCATGCACAGGTACATGCGTGCATACAAATACCATGCATTCATCGATAAAAGCATGCATACTGTGCAAGCACGACAACACTGTAGAGTCCCCTCGCAAAGAAAACGTAAGACCAACGGGGGCCATCACTGCGGCATCGATCGCAGCGATCACATTTGCAGTGGCAGATGTTTGTGATTTTGATACGACTAGGACCTATGAGTCCACTGAGTGTTTGTCTCCAGTCCATGTCTCTAGCCTAGAAGAGCTTTTGGGCCTTGAGCCTTTCAGTCTGTGGCCTACTCGATCCATATATATATATATAATAATAATAACAATAATAATAATAATAAGAATAAGAATAGTAATAATAATAATAAAATATAATATAATATAATATAACATAATATAATATAATATAATATAATATAACATAATATAATATAACATAATATAATATAATATGATATAATATGATATAATATAATATAATATTACATTACATTACATTATATTATGTTAAGTATAGTATATTATATTTTATGATAATATATTATGAATTTTATTGTATTGTATCATGGGACACCAAGGGCCGCTTCAATCCTGCGGAGCCTTGTCTGCTGGCATCCACGGCGGTGGACAGGTCGATCGGCCTCTACGCCAGAAGCCCGGTTTTTTTTTTTGGGCTTTAGGGTTTTCGAGTGTGAGGCTCCTGTGCGTAGTCGGGAAGCTGTGAAACTCGTGCGTGCGAGGATCTACGTGGGAATGCCTCGATCCGGAAGGCAGGTGCCATCACTGCTGTCCCTTCGGCACTCGTGAAGAGCTTCAGTTTTCGTTGCCCAGACGTAAGGTCATTTTAAAGAATCGGTCCAACGGTATCTGCTGGAATCCAATGCGCCCGATGCTGCTCGACAAGTGACAAGGGGTTTTGCAGCAGACATGGATGATTCATCTGCTTCAACTGCCTGTGCTTGGACCTGCCAAGGAGCTTCACCGTGGCGAACGAAGATTGTAGTGCCTCGTCAAAATTTAACGTGGAAGCCGGTGCAAGCTCGAAAGAGCCTCAGCACCAAGGCTTGTACACCTTCGACATGCGCAAGCTCTCAGCAGCAATGTACAGACATTGGGATCATGTCATGGCCGTTCTGGATGTGGACTACGCACCGAACGGTACGCTGTGCAGCGCAGGGTGTGGGTTCGGACAGCATCTCCGAGACTACTCTTTGCGGTAGGCCAAGAGTTTGTGTCGGCCAGCTACGACAACACCGTCCGGCTCTGGAACTGCACGGCACAGAGATCCAAGGAGGCTCTCGGTGTTTGGTGTAAGGAGATGTGGTCATGTTGCGTCTCTAGCATCTCTATGCAGGTCTATCATGGAAAGCGAATGCAGCTACTTGGCAGCCCCGAGCACCCAAAAATCAACTGGATCTTGTCCTGTGCAGCTGAGGCGAGTGCTTTGCTGCCACTTCACCCCAGACGGCAGATTCGTTCTCTCTGGTTCGGAGGACACGAACATCCGGGTCTGGAAGGCAGCAGCCCCCCAAAAGACTTGACTCACCCCCCGCCCCCCTAATTATCCTAATTCTCTCCCTAGACCCAAAGCCCTAAACCGTTCCATTTCAGAGGTGGTCTGAACCTGGCCAGGCCAAAGCTGATCAGAAGCTTGGCGTGTCAACGCCTCGAGAGAAGAGAGCAGAGGCGGCTTCTGTGGCTCAGAAGAACCTCGAGTGAAATGCAAGTCCATGTCAGGCATACAGAGAAACTCTGAAGAAAAAGTTTGCACGGATGCCGGAGATCGCTCGCATCAAGCGACACAGGCGCCTTCGAAAGAGTGTCTTGTGGAAGGGATGACATCCAACTGTGTGGACCAGAGCTGCGACAGGCATGTGCCCAAGATGGCCCGATGCTGAGATGCAGTGTTTCGAGGGTATTTCTGCTCTTTCTATGGAATCGCTGACACTGCCAGATCAAGTCGATGGGGAATAAGCGGCGCATCATGAGGGAGGCACGGTGCTCGTGCCGCAGCCTTTCTCACGGAGCCTTCAGAGAACTGAGGGCCTTCCTTGCCAGGCGAAACAGCGCAAGGAGACAAATCGCAAGAAGCATTCGAAGCCGGGAAGTGTCGTTCACGAACCCATGAAGCCGCCCAGACAGAAGTACTAGTGATTAGTGTACTGGCGCCACTTCAGCCCGTCCTCTCCTCTGTCGCATCTCAGGAAGCGGCACATCCTCAAGGAGCTTCAGTGATCGGCAGCGTTCCATCAGCCTGCTGGTCTCGACCGTTTCCTTTCTGATGCCGAAGCTGGTGACAAAGGTTTCACCACGTTTTCTCGATCCAAAGACAGCCTCCCAAAGTCAAAGTCGGCCGGCAGTCGATTCCAGAGTGCAGAGTCACTGTAGCATGAGTCAGGGTATCGAGTATTACAGCCTTGCAGATCCTGAATCCATGCTTTTCTACTAGAACTGCAAGACTTTCTCGACATGCACATTGTCCAGATTTTGATTTGCAGTGCATTCTCTCGCTCTAGCCGAAACCCATGCGCGCATTGATTAGTTGTATATACATATGTATGTCATATATATATATATAGATAGAAATAATATACACATACTCACACGGGTCGCCCAAGATATGCCATGATTCACTGCGAGGGACATACAGCTTTATGGAATATATTTCCTCACTTGCTTCTTGCCGTGGTCGAGGCTCCGCCTTGAGTCTGTTACATGTCTGCACCTCGTTTCATGTACCGGGCAACAACCATGACGAGGACTAGGAGGTCAGGCTTGGGGACTTGGGGTTCTAGGGCTATTAGTATTAGATTTGGTGCAGAATGTATCAACAGCCCTCAGCCAACCCCAGACTCCAGAGTATATAGGGATCATGGCACCGAAAGCGGAAGCTGCCGGGACGGCTGTCGTGTGGCACCTTGGCACACAACCTGAGAAAACATGGCTTCAGCACTTAATTAGAGGGTGGGTGCTTGGAGCATACTTGCAAGGTTCCGCAAAGGGCTTCGCTTGCATGACAATCCTGCGCTTTTGGAGGCAAGTCACATCATGTGGCGCCTTTTCTGTGCTTCAATCCTGGTTGGTGAAGGCAGCCAAGTCAGGAGCGAAACACCTTTGTGCATGCCTCAAAACCCAAGAGTCGCAGGTTATTCCTACTGCTTTCAGCTGCCCTGCAACTGCCCGAGGCCCGGTGTTTGTGCTGGACCCTTTCTTTGGCCCCAAGTTCGTTGGGCCAAATCGCCCCTTGATCGCATCAAAGCCTCTGCAGCATCGGGGCCCGTATGGCCTGAATAACTAGCCTCCGTACACCCAGGCTACAATTTCCTCTTAGATTGCCTGCGAGATCTGGATCAGTGCCGTGCCTGCAAGACATCTTCTCAGCCTGTGCAACGGTGGAAAATCCATCCTGGAACATCGTGGTGGTCCACAAAAAGCGATCCGATTTACTTCTCAGCGAGTCGGATTGCCGAGTTTGGTGTTAGACAACTTCGCTTAGCCCCTTGAGGCAGCTTCGGAAGCGCTACCGTGAGCTTGATTGCAAGAGAGCCTCTGTGAGGTTCTACGAGAGGCAGGAGAGGAAGGAAGAGCTTGCTGAGGTAGCCGCTTGATCGTCTTGCGCGGCAGACCGCAGGTCTGTCCGGCCTGATGTCGACTTCAGCAGTTTGCATGTAGTTTTGCTTGTGTTGTGGTTGAACAGCGGAGCCTGCGACCGGATTCTGGCCAGGAGGTGCTTGGCAAGCTTTTCCAAAGTGGAAAGCCGCTTCTGGCCGCATGGAGCCAAGGGAGGTCATGAGATCCTGGAGTGTGCTCGCATTTTCACTCCTAGGCCAAGCCGCGACTCATCGTGTGGGAGAAGGACACGGAGCCCTATGCAAGGACGGGCCTTCAGAGAGAAAGATCTGCAGCGGATGTATGAGTTCTCTTGGGGAGCCCTCCCGGGAGATGGTGAGGAAGCGTGACGCAGCCATAGAGAAGCTGGCCAAGAAGGGCGGCGTTGAGGCATCTCTCGGTGGAGGGTACAAAAGTACAATAGAAGGTGAGGAGCAGTATATATATATATATGTACACATTACATTGTATTATATTAAAATATATTATACTACACTATACTATATTATACTATATTATAAGTTTTTGCTGTCCTCCGTCAGTCTGCACATGCGGCATGTGGCAAGTTGCACGGAGTTAATTTCGCTGAAGCAGGTGCACACCTTCTCGGGACACACGCTGTACGATGTTGACGAAGCGTTGGCGAAGAACAAAGGTGGCTCCGGACGGTATGCCTCAACTATTGAGTATGTCGTGTCCTCATCAGGGTCTTCTCCAACGACGAACAACGGAATGCAGTCCTTGGCCAAGGCGCTTGTTGTTGTGCGTTTCAGCCAGGAGAGTCGTTGGCCCTTGGCTTGCGCTAGTATGTCCATCAGGCACTGGGAGAGCCTGCCGCCCCACGCCCTGCGCCAGGAAAATTGCCAAAGCCCCGGGGCATAGTGCCAAAGAAATGATCCGTTTGCCACCCCGGGCACCGGGAATTCCACACACGGTTCACCGTGGGAGCTGTGCAAAGGCATAGAAGCTGCGGCTGCACTGGCCTCTTATCATGACTGTGGGCCTTCCTCCAACTGCCAGACAAGGCCGCCATTACCACCAGCCGCGTCAGGAAAGGTGCTCCAGCAGCCATTTGCAGCATTGCATGGCTTCATCCCAGCGGTATACAAGTACTGGTGCATGCAATTGGCGGTTCAAATTTGGAGAGAATTGCCGAGTGGGCAGGCGTACGATGTGCCCGACCTGAAGAAGATGGGCTGGTTGCCAAGATTCACGGCTGCTGGGAAGGCTGGTGGGCCATCTTCGATTGCGGATGATCTTGAGGCTACAAATCGAGCCTTGGTCTTAGCGGTTGCCACGGCTGCAGTCCGTGTCTTCATTGTAGCCCTACGGCAGCAGCGGCGCATGTGGGCTAGGCCCGCAGACTTACCTTAAAGGGGGCGAGACTGCCGGTGCGGCGCGAATGACGGCCATGCTCAAGGCCGGAGCATGCTCGCTTTGGACATGTACCTCGTCACGGCCCTGTCTGTTCAGAAAACAAAGTTCATCCGGACCTTCCGGAAGCCTCAGACAAGATCCTCTGCATTTGCACGCAGCTAAGTTATCGAGAGAGCGGGGAGTCAGGGTAAGGTCCAGACATGCTTCGAAGATCTCAGGACCCGCCGGACACCACAGTCCTCTCGCCTTACTTGAAATTTGGATGCGTGGCTTGTCGCCAACCAGCCGCAGCAGGACACAGCAGCTTTCAAAATACAAGCGCACTTGAGGTGAGCATCCGCGAGTTCTACTACGGCCTGAAGAAGGCGCAAATGTTGAGATACGGCATTACTGATGCTGCTGATGCTATGTCGAGTTTAGATCCTTGGCCTTGGGTGCCATGAACCCTTACAGGTTGAGGTTTGCCAGCCCCACAGCTATAGCCTTTAACTTTAGCAAAGCCTAAGTACCCACCATAAAACCATAAGACATCTATTCAAGGGTACTTGGGGGGTTGCTGGTAGGGGTTTAGTTGATTTTAGTTGCGTGTCCACTCGCAGGTCTGTTCGGGATCGAACCATTCGAAGCCACCCGAGTCCCTGCTGGGCCAGCCGCAGCCCCAGGTTCCACTGCCACATGCATAAATATCAATAAAAGACTAAATAAGTAAATAAATAAATAAATCAATATAAATATAAATATAAATAAATAAATACATAAATAAATGAATATAAAAAAATAAATAAATATAAATAGAAATAAATAAATAAATCAATAAATAAATAAATAAATATATATATATATGTAGATGGAAGCAGGCAGGTGGGTGTAGACATATGGCTGCTTGCATGTTTGTCACAGCACGACACTTAAGAAGCTCGAACCTGCTGTCGCACATCCTTTCGAAGCCACCCCTTTCCATTTAGCTGCGAAAGACGTTTGCTACAGATGTTGGGCCACTGGCCCCTGCCTCTGACTTCAGATGATCCCGGCTGGCACAGCCGGCTCTTCATCCCCTCGCAGACCCTCGGAGGTCTCGCGTGCTGGATCTAGCATCCTGGTCCTTCCGGAGAAGAGACCTTCGTTGGAGTGTGCCTACCTGGCCTTCCTCATTGCTGCAACGAGATACTCCAGGACGACTAAGGCCGTGGGCAGATCCCGACGCCTGCTGCTTCGCAAGAGCCAGCTGCTGCGAGAGGGCGCCTCCTGTCTTCTGCTGGGCCAGGAGCTCGGCGAAAGCTGCGAGGCTGTCACCGTCCTGCCGGAGATCCTGCGCCAGGGCGTGGATTTCCTGGAGCCAAAGGCTCCGGATTACCTGGCCCTGAGCCTGAAGATTCGAGAGGCAGCAGGGAGGCCCTCCTTGCTGGGTCCGCTGGTGCAGGACATCTGCGGCCTCCTTACATCCCACTATGGAGCTCAGATCCTTCCAGGCAACAACAACAGCTCACCAAATGACTTCCTTGGCGGAGGCAAGCCGGGGGTTCTCAGTGATGTTCCGCTCGCCGCAGCGCTGCTCACATCCACCTGGTGGAGGGCGCAGGTCTTCTCGGAGGAGTCTGCTTCGAGGATCTCGAAGACCGACAGTCCGTTGAAAGGCAGAGACCTGGTTCTTTGGTGGTTTCTCGGGGTCATGAGAAGCGAAGGGGCGGCTTGGGCGTTGAGGGCCGCGTGTGCAGATGAAGATGTGTGCGATTCCGAGCTGGAGGACGGTGCCGGCTATGCCGAGGCCTTGTCTCAAGCCAAGCCGCCTCTGAACCAACCGAGCTTCACTTCACCCATGACCCCCGAGCAGCAGGCGGCGCATGCGAAGAAGCGTGAGAGATGGCTGCAAACGAGGACAACTCTGGCTAACGCCGTGAAGTCAGGCGACGTGAAGGAAGTTGCAGGGTTGCTTGCAGACGGTGCTCCTGCAAGCATGTCGATCCGCATGCAGGCCATGCGTGGGCTCCCCAAGGGAACTGGATTTTCGTGTGCCGGTGCAGGCAGCCAAAGATGGATCGAGGTTGGCCTTCCCCACGTCGCCATGTCTCTGTGCATTGAGAATCCAAGCTCGGTGCATCATTCCGCTCACCGCATCGTTGCAGACCTGGGAATATCCTTTTCCGAGAAGCGCATGAAGCCATGCTTGGGCGTGCAGATGATGCAAGTGTTGAAGGCCTCTGGTGCATCCTTGCAGGCCGTGGACTCTGATGGTTTAACGCCGGTGTTCTATGCTGCCATGTCTGGAAACACGTGTTGCTTGTCGCATCTCTTTGCGCTCGAGGGCCCCAAGCTCTTTGAGCAACGAGACAACTTTGGTCGAAGCGCTCTGTACTGGGCCGTCGCCAACAACCAGAAAGCGGCCACCGAATGGATCCTTGTCCACTCGGGTGCGAGTGGAGTAAATGATACGAATGCAGATGGTCAGACTGCCTTGGCAAAAGCTGCATGGTGCGACCTGCCTGAGATTGCCGAGCTTCTTCTGGGTTTTCGAGCCGACCCCAGCATGGTGGACAAGCACAGCCGGAATGCGCTTCACAAGGCCGCATGGGGGCCGGACGGGGGTCGCAACGGAGTGAAGGTGGTGGGTGGTCGGGAGGCCGGAAGCAGCCCGGGGTGCCTGAAGCTCTTCCTGGAGGGGTGGTTGCCATGCATCCACGTCCGAGACTCCTATGGGGCCACACCGGTGCAAGTGGCTTCCTCTTCGGGGGCTGCAGACTCCTTGCAGCTCCTCTTGGCCACTCTCGACGGGCGTGAGGAGGCCACAGAAGCGCTGGCAAGCACCGCCTTTAGAGGACAGCGTGCTTGCTTAAAGCAGCTCCTGGATGCCTTGGCAGACCCCTACTCGCGTGAGAGCTGGGGACACTCTGCTCTTGACCATGCCGTCGCCGGCGAGAGAGAGGGGGCGGTGGAAGATCTCCTGAACCATCTCGAATGGCGTGACAGCTGCGCGGAGCGGACCAGCATGATGGCCAGCGCGATCGATTGTGCCTGTCGGATGAGAAGCAGCAAGCTTCTCAGGAAGCTCCTCTGCAAGTACAAAGTCTCGGAGTCCGAGGATTTCCTCAGCCTTTGCCTTTCCACTGCCTTCGAGTCTCTGGGCCCTCTGAAGAGTTGGCCTCCCTTCCAAGTGCCGCTGCCTCTTCCCTCTTTTTGGGACGCCCGCTCCTTGGCCCTTGAGCCACCGAAACTCTGGGAGGAGCTCCTTACGGAGGAGGGTCTACTTTGCTCGGAGCTCCAAGGCTGCTGTGAGCTCCTCCTCTCTGCAGGGGCGAAAGTCACCGAGCAGACTCTGACCCTTCTGACTCTCTTGCTGCCCCAGGGCCTGGCGCCTCCTCTCCTGGAGGCCATGGTCGCGCGCTGCTCGCCTGCAGACCTGGCCTGGCCGCTTCTGGCGGCCGTCGAAACTGGCGAGGAGGCCAATGATGCGGCCGTGCGCCTGCTCCTGCACTCCCGAGCCGATCCCTGCACGCATGGCGGTGCCGCGCTCGCAACAGCGGCTGCCCGTGGCGACGTGGGCCTTCTTAGAGCCTTGCTCGCGGCAGCGCTCGCGGCGCCGGGCTCGCCCGGCTCGCTCCAGTGCAGCGCGGCTTTTCTGTCCCCAAGGCCGTGGCCTGCAAAATTCGAGGAGCATCCCACCGTCAACCTCGTCCTTGTTGCAGCTCGCTTTGGACAGGCCGAGTGCATCGCTCTGCTGTCGGAGGCGAGAGACCGATCCGACGAAAAGCCTGAGCTCTGGTTCCAGGAGGTCGCGGACCAAGCCGCCGCAGCAGGGCATTCGGACATCGCACACTGGTTGCAGGCCAATGCAGCCAATGGAAGCCCGAAAGAGTCGGCATCCACGTCGGCCAAGGTCTTGTCGTTTGAGGTGCAGCAAGGAACTTCTCGGTTCGAGGTGCTGGATCCAGTGGCCGATGTCCAGCTCTTCGAAGCAATCGTGGTATCTGCAAAGCAGCGGGGCCAGCCTTCTGTGAGTCGCACTGGCGCGTTCTGTGCAGTGGACATGTCTGCAATCAGCTTTGTCAGCACCGTCGCAGAGGCCTCGGCTGCAGTTGACCGACTCCGATCTGACCTTTCTCTTGGAGTCGCCGCGGTTGGCGTGGACTTGGAGTGTTACCACGAGGTTGTCTGCACAGTACAAGTCTCATGGCAAAGATGTGGAGCTGCTTGTCACTGCATCTTCGATGCGCTTCTGTTGCATGATGACATGAATCAGATTTTGGGAGAGCTTCTCAGCGATCCGAGTATCGTCAAAATATTTCACAGTCCACACAACGACCTTCGATGGTTGCGCAGCAACTTTGGCCTTTCCGTTTGCAACCTCTTTGACACCGCAGCTGCCTACAGGCAGATCCGCAAGGAAGTCACCAACTCGGTGAGCTTGAAGGAGGTGTGCGCACAGATGTTGAGCTGCAGCCTGGAGGATGAACAAGAGCAAGCTTTGCATGCCCTTTAACACTTGGTAGTTGCAAGTAGTCATCCCGAGAGACAACCTGGGCTTGCTGACACATTGGCCCCCTCAAGAGCAGGTACACTGGACAAACAATATCAGAAAGCAGATTGGCGACTTCGCCCCCTTCCAGCCGACATGCTGCTCTATGCCTCGACTGATGCTTGGGTTCTGGTGCCTTTGTTCCTGTCCTTCTGCAAGCAAATGTCGGCCGAAGAGCTAGCAGCTTCCTGGGCATCATGTCGGGACATGCTGGAGAGTGCCGAGCAGAAGCAGCTTCCACAGGTTCGCATCTCCTTGAGTGAGGCAGCGAAAAAGGCCAGAGCTTGCAGCTCGTCCTTCGGAGGGGCGGAGCTATGGGCACAGAGCAAAACCAACCTTCCCGGCTTCACATATTGTACGCCCAGGATCCTGTTTCGGGAAATGGCCTACCTAATGGGAGACTCTCGGCCGCAGAAGTGGGCCAGAAGCCATGAACCAACCGGAGCGCATTGTCCGTGTGAGCTTCCCCCGATCTCAGGCCTCCATCCCCAACTTTGATCGGCAGGCGCCTAGAGAGTCATGGGAGTGTGCTAGAGACCTGTTGGTCCATGCCATATAGCTGGTAAGGCCGGAAATCCGTGCTGTAAGCGCAGGGCTCAGAAACAACACGGAGAGAGCCGTTTCCAAAAGCCGGAGACCCCCAAAGGCCGATCCCATGGGCAAATAACAAGAAGCTCCTCGCGGCATGGGAGACCGGAAGGCAGGAAAAGTGTAGCAAGGCTAGGAAATGCTTGGGCGCGATTTTCTGACTCAGTTTTTTTTTTTTTTTTTCCGGATGCGTCCTCTTGACCCAATCCACATGATGTGAACTGAACCTAAGTTGTAAGTTTTGATTACGACGGGAAGCGAGAGGACTGGGTACCCCTTCATAGATGCATCGATGCGGCAGCTGACGAGGGCCGGGTACCAAGCGGTTGAACACGCTTTCCCAGCAGCTGCACTTTCTTCATCAACATTGAGATAAACTGTGGAGAAAGTGGAGGTGTTTCTAAATTCAAGACCGCTACTAAAGCACCTATGCCATGACCACGACCACGACAACCACCGTCACCACCACTACCGCGTCCGCAGAAAATTCGGTAACTCTCCAGTGTTGACTGTCATGGAAGACTGGAGGAGGGCTAGTTCGATGTAGTTCACCATGATCACTCCTGTCAGCGTCATCGGTTTTGCCTCATCATCTTCATCATGTGGTAGGTGCAACTGGTACAGGATGCCCCATGTACGATTGATCATGAGCGATCGGTGTTATTTAGGGTACTATATTAGGGTCCCCTATTTTCGGAAACCCCCAGGTCGGGTGGATGCATCACCTTGCGCGGCACGCCGTGGCGTGCTTCCTCACTCGTGGGGACCTCTGGCTCTCCTGGGAAGAAGGCGCCAGATCTTGACTGAAGACCGTGGAGTACCGGCGAAGAAGATGAGTTGGAGCTATATAATTATATGTAGTTATATGATATCCTGATATAGGAATAGTTATGGCCATAATTAGATGTGGGACCTAAGTACATGCATACACACGGTACATACAGCAGCGGACAGGAAAGTTACGTCGCGAAGCTTTATGCTTGCCGGCATGAGTTCGGCATAAGTACAGTATCAAACCGGCGGCAAGCCAAACTACCTCAACTTTGAAGCCTGGATTCGGGCCCAAGTTGCGATCCAAACCAAAGAAACCTGAAGATCGAACTCGTGCGGAGGGTTCTGACGAGTCAAAGAATGAAATTTGAAACCCGAATTTGGGCGGAGCATTCCAGCGATAAAGCTCCGGCGAGCCAAAAGCATGAAACTTGAAGCGCAAGAACGACACAACGAAACTTTTTTCGAACATCTTTGTGGTACCATTTGGGCTGTACCAGCTTGATGCCGACACGGAAATCCTGTGGTGCTACATGGACGCAGCGAAGCTGTCCCGATGGTCTCGTGCTATTAAACTCTTTTGGGTGCTCTAGTGTGGACACAACGACATACTCACGAGAATCCAGTCGCACTAGGCCATTTATGGGTGCACCAGTTTGGATGCAACGAAACTTTCAGGACTAGTCCGCAGTGCGGAGCCATTTGGGGTTCACCGGTTCTGGCGATTTTGGACGCAAGAAATTTCTCGCAAGCAGTCAATTTGAACACAAGGAGAGCATCACGGCGACAGGGCGCAAACGAAACTGTCACGAATTCCTGCGGTGCTAAACCATCTTTGCAGCGCGGAGTTGAAACCCGAAGTCGGGCCAAGGGTTTTTGTCGTTTTGAAATGGCAGATACTTGAAAGCACGAATTTGGATCCCGGGTTTGGTCGCGCCGAGTGGAGCTTGAAGCACCGGATCGGTCAGTGGATCGGTCCATTTGGTCTTGCAAACCATCACTCGCATCCCCTCACCCCCAAACCCTAGGTTGGGCCCAAGGATTTTCCTCAGCCAAAGGAAGTGAAACTTCACTCCCGAGCTTTGGAAGTTTGCAGGTCGGGATGTCTTCGACAGGTTGCTCGTCGACGCTGCCGAGTCCTCAGGAAACATAGGCAGCTCTTCTAAGTGGTGGCGGCTTTCTGTTGTCCAGCTAACTTGTGTTTTACAGAAAGCACCTAGATGTTATGTTTCATCATGAGCATGCGGTGATGATTCACGAAGCTTCTCGAGGATTGGTCCCTGAACAACATGAACTGGCTGGGCCTCTCTGGTGCTGCTCCCTGGTCCCCACCGTTCTTCCGAGTCTACCACCCCGTGCCCTGACAAGTCTCACTTATCTTGCCTGAAGCGGTTTAGGTTTAGGGTTTAGGGTTTAGGGTCCTAAACACCTGAAGCCCTAAACCTTGGGGTAACTTGCAGGTACCGAAGATGGATTCTTCCCTGAACGTCAAGGACCCTGAGGCGCTTACAGGCCAACTCAGGTTGCATGACGGAGCCCAGTGTCTGCCAGGGCAAGTTCATCCGCGAGTTCGTTCCGGAACTTCGGAAAATGCCGAGTCCTGGCCCCGCGACACACCTGCATGCTTGTTACGTCAATGCTTTCAGGGCCCTGTATCAGGTAAGTACATCTATGCACCTTGGACAGCTCCGAAGGAGGCCCAGCCCCTTTTTCAACATCAATCGCTTCCTTCTCGCGCAGACTTCGGAGTCCTGTTGCTACCATGCAAGTCACCAAACGAAGGTGCAGCAAGCAGCCGGGTGCATCGTGGGGAAGGACCACCTCTCGCCATTCTGATAGCTTCAGCGGGCACTTGCTGCCTTTTTGAGCTCTTTTTGAACTTCGATCCTTGCGCCTCTTCAGGATTATCCGAAACCGATCGTGGATCACGAGACGGTGTGCAAGGAGCCGCTCTCTTCCGCCAGCCAAGATGGGGTTTGGGGTTTAGGATCTGGGGTTTAGGGTTTTGGGTTTAGGGTGTAGGGAAGAAGTCCACATTTTTCTGGAAGATCACCGGTGAGGCCAACCTGGAACGTTTCAAGAAGGCCTTGGCAGCGGCCAGGAGCCTGGGTCTTGGCTGCTCCGCTAAAGATCCGCTTCCATAGCCAGCATAGCACTGCGCAGCAGGTGCCGGCGGTCAGAAACGAAAGGCTTCAGGGTCCGCATCTTCAGGAAAGAAGCGCTGCTGGCTGGGTTTGCTTCGGAGTCGCAGCTGTGACGCTCCGGCTCGGAACATATCTGCCCTGTCAGGCGCAAGTTTGGGTGAATGAGTGGAGTTTGCCTTGCATGGATTTTTCAGGCTCGCGCCTTGCGCGAAGTTTCTCGCTTAGCCTCTTGAGGCCCTCGCGCCCCCAAGCCGCCGTGGGCCCGCGGTAAAAAAAGCTGCGAGATCTGATGCAGAAAGGTTGTGCGGTCTTTCAGGATGCTGAAATGAACGACTGGGATCCTGCAGGCAGCATATGATGGGAGCCGACTTCGAAGACCTTTTCAAGTTCGTTGACCCCAAGGTGGGCACCTTTAAGAACCCCTTGCCGAGTCTGCCAAGTCCGTGGCAGGTGAAGAATGCTTTGACGCGAAGCTCCAATTCCCATGCGGTCAAGGTTGCCCGTGGTGCGACAGACTTTGACCCGCTCGTCCTTCGTTTCACGGCTCAGGTCGTCCTCCCATCGAATGGCAAGAAGAGAAAAGCAAAAGAGGACTCATCAGGTTAGAGTCGGTTAGAGTTCCGGGGGGAGAACTGGCAAGATTCGACAATGTGTACATGCGCACATGCATGCATGGATGTATGGGGGCTTATGGGGGTACCGATGGAGGTTTGTAAACAGTGTGTGTATGATGTATGTACAAAAATATACTACAAAGATGAAAACAAGTGCTGCCGTTTCCCGGTCTTGATGTTATTGTGACGTCTGATGATCAAGAACCTACATTCGCACATGGTGGAAAGTCTGGCTTCTCTATGCACGCCCAGCATGTTCCGAGGAGAATCCAGACGAGATGGATGACGATGTAGAGAAGGACAAGGCCGGCTAGCTCGGAACGGAAAGCTTACAGTAGGGTTTGGGGGGGGGGGGGATTTCCTACTTTAATAAGGGGCGCCCAAAACCCTATTCTAATTATTAAAAAGCAGTCAACGGCCACATCTCCCTGTCTGCAGGTCAAGGTGGAGCCAGATGAGGAGGCGAATGCCAGCGAGGATGAGGGCGCGGCCTCCTCCAGCCTTATCAAGTGCCTCCCGCCGCCTTAATTGCTTTACTTTTGCTCCCAGCCCAGCTGCTTCATTGTGGTACGTGCCAGGGTGAAGAAGCCGAAGGCAAAAGCGAAATCCAAGGCCAAAGCCAAGGTGCAACAGCAGGGAAGGGTTAGACTCCTGACTCTAATCATTAGTCACTAGGCTATGCTTTGCTCCAACGTGACTGTTTGAAGTCATGGTGCAACCTCGGTGAGGATCACACATGGGTTGCACAAGGGTCTCAATAAGTAGACCTAGATGCAGGGTCCTGCGCTGTTGCTATTTCCTCGCGTGCTTGCCCATGACTTGTGCAGGCAGAATCACCGACGAAAAGCAAGGCCCTGCTGCGAGATCTTGTTGCTGCGCATTGTTGACGACGAATCTTAGTCAAGCTTAGGAGTAGGGCTAATGCCCATCAGCACGGGCACCAACGCGAGCACCAGCACTAACACCACGGCGACGGCCCCAAGCAGCCTCATCATGGTTATCATATTGGTGACATCATACAAAAACCAGAACAATGTGTACGGGGCTCATAACAGTGCTCGTGGCAGTCGAAACAGAAGTAAGGATGAACTTAGCTTCACGGCGTGATGCAGCGACAATGACGACATGGACTGTGACCGGCCATAACACCATGGTCGTCAAGCATGTTGAAATTTTTGCAGTGGCCCTTACTAGGCCGAGGCTGCGCCAAAGGCAAAGGCGGCTGGCAAGGCGCTTTGAGAACTTGGAGGATGTTATGCAGTTTAGGATGGTTTTAGGATACGGGTTGCGGGTGGAGGGTTCCAGGGTTTTGGGATTCTGGGGTGTCGGGTCCAGGGCTCGGTGATTCAACCAAGTTCATGGGCTTTCGAGCCTACGAATCGAATCTTCTGAGGTTTCGCCCGCGCCTCTACATCTGAAGGGGAGGGTCTGCCGCTGTTTTCGCACAGGCCAAAGCCAAGGGGAAGGTCGCAGCCCCAGGAGCTTCAGGCTTCGGGTGCCATGGGGGTGTTTTGTCTTGAGTTTAGGGTTTGGGATTCAGGGCTTCAGGAAAGGAGGGAAGGTGATAAGGTTTTAGGGTTTAGGGCTTTTTCTGAGCACTCTAGAGACGCCTGATGCTCGTTGTCTACACACTAGCAAACTCGATGGGTAATCCGAGACCGAGCATCCGAGGCGAAGGCGAAGTCATGAAGGAGACTGGCCGACGCCCGCGGGTTTCACCATGCCAGACCCTGCGTGGGGGACACGTGGCTTTGCCTGGCTTTCAAAGAAGTTAGAAGAGCTCTCCCGTCAATTGAAAGGGCTTCGGAGAGAGTCATGGGTTTAGGGTAGTTAGAGTATACGGGCTACAGGGATGACAAGAAGGAATACCCCCCCCGATCTCAGCACGGTCTGCAAAGCACTGCCTGTAGCCTTCTGATGTCATCACTTCGCCTGCCTTGTAACCAGCACCATTCACACGCGTTCTCACCCTGGTTTCTGAAGCTTTCAGTTCGCCTTCCAGGTTGGCTCTGTCTTCCCAACCGCAGCCCTTGAGGCTCAGCCAAAGTTTGAGAGCCATGGTGCTGCGCGTCATCACAGGGGTCCGTGCCCCTCCGCCGAGCAAGAAAAACAATGCCTCTTCAAACACAAAGGCCGGAGCTGCAATGTCGAAGTTGGCGCCTGGCCTTGCAGTGCCCTGTACGATCAAAGCGCATGCGTGCAGGAGTCTCCCCGAGTAGACCCAGTAGACGGATCGCCGGGGACGGCCAGCGAAATCGCACGCCGAAAATCGGAGCGGCAGCTTGGACAGCATGGGTATGGCTTTTCTCTGCAAAGATCCCTGGACTTTCGGGCCCAGAAACTAGATCAACAGCCGGCTTGAGCGGGGAGTCAAGGGGACAACCTCTACCAGTCACCTCTTCTCAGGCATCGCACGTTTGGCTGGGTCGCAGCCCCAGTATGCTCCGAAACACAGGTCAAGAGCGTTTGGGAGACTGACTGGTTCATTCCTTGCTTGCTGCCCTTAGCCCTTTCGTCTTTATGGAAAATGATGATTCAGCATGTTCGCTCCTACAGCCATATGCATAAACTATCCTGCTTGAATCCGTTCGACTATCCGCCTATTTATCATTCTGTGTACGTGCATGCATGTATGTATGTATGTATGTACGCATGTAAATGCACAGTGGTTGGAGTCTTCATTTCTGTCACGTTTCGTCCTGACGTCTTCGCGCATAGGTGAGAGTTTCAGAGTTTCGACCTCGGCCTGCTTTCCCGCCCAGGTGGACACCGATCCGGGCTTGGAGGTCCAGGAGCCTTGCTTTTGCTCCTTCTTAGGGTTTAGGGTGTAGGGTTTAGGCGTTTTTAGGGTTTAGGGTTTAGGGTGTGGTGGTGGTAGTAGGAGAAGTGGGAGTGGGAGTAGGGGGCTGGGTGCTAGATCTCTGACGTTCATTTTGAAGATAGTAAACAGGTAGATGTGGTGGATCAGTAGTCGCCGGGTGCTGTCTGAAGATCAGGACTTGGACCCCAACGTCGTCCTCAACGCAACTTGCTCAGAGAGAGTCTGCGCAGCCACCTGAAATGCCGTGGTGGAGCGTTATAAGAAATAATGTACTATGCTATAATCTACATAATATGTAGTATAACAAACTCTAATACACATAACTATACTATAATTTATCTACGTCCGAATCTAGGTAATAAGTAGTATATAGCAAACTACAATATAAATAACAATCGAAAGACGCCTTGGCTAAGGAGCATGGGATTCCTGAACGTGTGATGCTCTCCTATCTCAAGGGAGAGATCGAAGGCGAGGCTGCGGTCAAGAACCTCCCAGCTCCTGGTCTGCTAAAACTTACGAAGGGCTACTAGGGACTACTGGGGTTTAGGGTTTATGTAGGTACAAGCTTCATCATCACCGTCTGAACTTAGATTAAAGAGTCTCTCGCACCTGTAGCGTCCGCACTTTGCGTCGAGGCTGCCATTCTCCTCATCGTTTGGTTCTTCTTGATGCGCCTTGGGTCGATTGCAGAAAAGCGCCTATTGCTGAGGGTTGGGGGAGCCGCCCGCGAGTGAGAGCCTTGCAAAGGAACTTGTCGCATGAGCAGCCCGATTCCATCCATAGCGTCGAGAAATCGATCGACTATGACATCTATGAGACACTCGGACATGCTTGGACAATCTGGCACACAAGCTGCAAGCTTGAGACTTCGTGCTTCGAGGATTGAGTATTCAGAGTGCAGGAGCTGTGCATGCATAGCAAGCATTCAGACAACGCCTCTCCGGAACAGCCCAAGCTTGCAGCAGTGAGAATCTTCTCGCGGGGCCGCTCGGATCTCGAACGTTTCGTGTGGGATCTTGTCGGGACGGCGAGCTGACAACACTTCTTCGAATGTTCCATTGAACAAACTGAACCTGTCATGGTCAAAATGGCAAGAACTCTCACTTCTCAACGTTGGTAGAAGGTGGACTTCAAGCGTCCATTCTGCCCAGGAATGCGAATTTTGCCTTCTCCAGCCCTCTCTACATGGGACACAAGAACTTCCAGGACAGTCTGCGGGGCGTTTCAGAGGTAAGCTTCGCCGGGGAGAAGAAGCGCAGAGTTTTCGCTCTGCACCGTCTACAGGATGTCAACACCTTTGCAGATTGGTATTCCTGGATGAATCTTGGATTCTCGGAAGCTCGGCATGACATGCCAATTGCAAATCGAAAGGTGGTGGTTTGGTTTAGGGTTTAGGGTTTAGGGTTTAGGGTTTAGGGTTTAGGGTTTAGGGTTTAGTGGTGGTTTAATTCCGGGAGACTTCTCCATGCCGAGGCGATCTACTTCCCGACATCTCCAGCGGTGTCTGAGGGATCCAGCTCTGTTTTGCCAGACATGACCTTCGGTGAAGCGAGCATGCAGCCCGTCGCTAAAGGAGCTGACTGCTCGCCTCTAGTGGTGAACCAATTTCCTGCCGCAGCTTCTGTCAGGTATTTGCAGCACAATCGAAAGATTGGTGGCGTGAAACTTGTTCAGCAAAGGCCCCTCAGCTCAGACCATGCTCGATCGCTAGTAGGTGCCGAAAACGAGAGACGCAAGCCGCTCCTTGCCACGATGCAACTGTCGGGACCAGGTACGTTCCAGAAGAGACCGGGTAATCAACGGCCTTTGCCTGTGGGAATTTCTCCGGATCAATAGATTCCAGAAAGAGATCCGGGTACACACTTTTGGTTTCGGGAGCTTCCAAAAAGCAATACAGCCTGAAGAGACTTGCGGTGAAGGCATTTGGTGGGGCTCTTCCCGAAAACACTTCCCCAATGCAATCCATGTCAGAAGGGGTAAACACCTTGGCAGTGGTACAGGGACTTCTTCAAATCAACCACTCCAAAAAAGAACGGTGTACAGTCCTTGCGCTGTCGCATCCGTCGAAGCTCAGCTTTTGCACCGCTCTGTTTTTGAAGGGTAAGCGTACTTTGTTGTGGGACATTCCCAAAGCCCAAGCAAGGCCTTTACCCGGATATTGCTGAAGTGGATTTTCTCACAAAGCTCCCGCAACCAAAGCTCTTAACCCCGATTTTGTTTGCAATTTACGGCTTTAGTTTCCCGTAGGCAAACTCGAAAGTCGTCTCGGAAGCATGATGGGAACATGTCCTGCTGCAACGGATACTGAAGTTCCCTCGCCTGGGTTCTTCGGGACGAGTGCCGGTCCTGGCCGCACTAATTTTACAGCCCCTGCCATTTTGGTGCTTTTCGACTGCGCAGTCCTTGTTTCAAGTCATGGCCAGTCGCGCTGTCTCGTGTCGGAAATTCCTGCCCCAATCCCTCCGATGTCTTCAAAATGCAGCAATAACCCGGCGGAGGCAACTCGCAGTGGTTGGTGTTTTGTTCTGGGAAGCGGGCCGCAGGTAACATGTTGCCGCTGCTCTTTGACAAGTGGCAACAGCCAGACTTTCTTTGCAACCTTTGCTGATACTGCCACCAATGCACTATGCACCAAGAACAGAAAATATAACTAGCATACTCGTATGCAGCGAGCCATCTTTGTTTCAATCATTATCTATAGCAACCTGTACTCTCGTCGTAGCGGGTTAATTTGGCATTTGCAAGCTTGCTGTACCGGCAAGCCGCGATTCTTGGACTCATTCCGAGGTTGGTGGATGCAGAGTGCAAGAATCCCACAGCCCCAAAGTTGCAAGAGAGGAAGTGCTTTATTGTCTGTGGTGGTTTAACGCGATCTGTCTGCCTGTCTACTTATCTACCTATCTATCCATCTATTTATCTACCTATCTATCTATCTATTTATCTACCTACCTATCTATCTATCTATCTATCTAGCTATCTATCCATCTATCTATCTCTGCATCTGTCTATCTGTCTAGCTCTCTATCTGCCTAACTATACTTATGTGAATCTATATCTGTATCTGTCTATCCATCTATCTGGCTAGCTGTTTCTGCATCTTTCTAGCTATCTATCTGCCTAACTTTGCTTATGTCCATCTGTATCTGTTTCTGTCTATCCATCTGTCTATCTGTCTGTCTGTCTGTCTGTCTGTGTTTCTATCTGTCTATCTGTCTATCTATCTATCTATCTATCGATCTAGCTATCTATCTAAACCTATTCATATCTGTCTGGCTACTTTCCAGATGCCTGTGTATGGCTACTTGTCTGCCTGCCTGCCCGCCCGCCCGCCTGCCTGCCTGCCTGCACATACATATTATGTATGTGTATGGTCGTGTGCAAGCAGCTTGTAAGTGTACGGATGCATGTATACATGTGCATGGGGTATAGATGGAAGCATTATGCATGCATGATCATGCATGCATCTCTCGTTCTCTCGACGATATGTAGTCATAGATACTATCAGTAACACACACTTGTATCTAGATAGGTAGATACATAGATAGATAGATAGATAGATAGATAGGCGGATAGATAGACGGATATATAGATAGATAAGATAGAGGTCGGCATGTGTGCACATGATGTGTTGTATGCATACTTGGCGAGTAAATGGCTGAATCCTTCGAATTTTGATGTTGTTGTAAAGCGGTGTCATGTAGGTAGGGCTGGTGTCTCCGCACGGCCACGTGAGATGCCCGCCAAAACCCAAATTCCAACCATCCTCGCTCAAACCCGGGCCCTGGTCCCTGAACCCTAAACCCAAGGCAACGCCCAAGATCCTGTTGTGTAAACCCCGAAGCCCAGAGCCTAAATCGAGGTGGCCCATGCAATGGAACTAGATCCTTGCTTCCAGTTCGAAGGCCCGGACTCCCGCTCTTTGTTGATTGAAGATTTAGGACCTCTGTGGTGTGAAGGGGAGGTGAAGATTTTTAGGAGAGTCCACGGGTGTGTGTGTGTGTGAAGCTATTCTAGGGATGTGTAGGGTTCAGGTTCCGCTCAACACCCTGAACCTCCCCAGGACCCCCCAACCCAAAGCTCCCAAAGGCCCAAAACTCTAGAACCCTTGGCCCTGTACCTAAGGCTTTCGCTTTTAAGGTCTATAGGGTCTATAGGGGCAATCAAGCCCCAAAACCCCCTGGGATCCTGGAGCCCTCAGCTTCAGAGGACTGGACCTGCGGCTGAAACCCACGGAGCTCGACGTCTCCCAGGAGGAGAGAGCCATCTGCTGCCAAGGGCAGCCGCAGAGGTAGCTTCGAGATTTTGTTCTTGGCCTACTCTCGCCGTCTCCATGTCCATGCATAGGTTTAGATAGATAGATCGATGGATAGATAGCAGATAGATGGATGGGTAGTTGGATAGACGGTTAGACAGACAGGCAGGTAGACGCATATGGACAAATTGACAGATAGGCATGGGCACACACACACACATGTCTGTATTTATCCCTCCCATGGCTTAAACTCTGCAACAAGCTGGGTGCGCTTGAACAATCTGATGCTGATTCTGAGCACCCCTTTGCTACTGCTGCTCTGGAGGCTTCGCGTCCTAGAGAGGTGGATCTATCTGGGAGACTGCAGGACTTGGTCGAAAGCAGGGCGAGCACGACCGTAGAATGGCTGGACTACCTCATGGAGTTTCCCAATGTCACAGTCGCTTAGCGTCAATCGAGGCTGCTACTACATAGAGCCGTCGTTTCTGATCCCACACGCAGCTGAGGTGGGCAATCAACTACGAGATCTGGAGTTGAGTCGATGGCTGAACAATCGCACTTACCGTGTGAAGGCCTTGCTGTACTGCTTGTTGTGATTCCTCGTTGTGAACCTTAGAGCGACCACATGCCGTGCTTGAATTCCTCCTTGTCACAAGTATCTGTACAAAGCTAGTTGTACAGAGGGTACTGACATTGATGGTCTTGAAAATGTGGGAGGTCAGCTTCATGACCTATAATGCATACTACGCCTCCTGTCTGCAAGAGACTGCATGACTTTCGTGTTCGAGGTTGCTCCGTGAGCCTCCGGCAGATGCGTCTGAACCCAGGATATGCTGACCACCACCAGCATCCACTTCATGTTCGCCATTTCAGGACCGCTGTAGCCAGTTTGCAAGCGAGAGCATGGTGATCGCAATCATCCGATTTGCGCTAGGCCGCATCTTCAAGCAGATTACGCACAGGCCTCCCGCCACAGTTTGCAGACTCACCTCCCCAGTCGCAAAAGCTCCGCCATAAACCCCCATGTGCAGAGAAAACTTTCCGTGCGTGCGCTCCTAGGTCGGTTATCCTGGAAGCTCATTCAACCTTCGAGAGCTGGCTGTACGAGGCGAGGGCTTATGCTTCAGGTTTTGTATTAAGCTTGTTGCTGGGGATTTAAGGTTTTGGGTTTTCTTTTAGGATGGAGAGTCAAGGCCTCGCATGAGTGTTTGGTCACTGCTCGTGCCAAGGTACTTTTCTTTGGTCACATCCTTGTGCTGTTCCTGAACGAAGGTTGCGTCATCCAGCTTCCTTGTATATAATTGAGGTCTCAAGCTTGGCAGCCGTCAGGTTTCGAAGCGATTTGCTGCATTCGGGAGCACAAGTGCCGGGTGGTTGAAGCATGGTTCCTTGGCGTTGCAAGAAGTCGTTCCACTGGAGGTGCTAGAGTTTCTTCTGCAACTTCGGCCATCTCCCATATCAGGAAGGCATATTGGAACTTCTGGAATGTGGTGGACTGGGTGTCTATCCTTCTTGCATTTGCCATCTTGATTACCTGGATCTCTCAGAACATCGGACAGGCCGAGAAGCAGTGCAGTCACGGTTTGATAGGTTGCCACTATCTAGTGCAGCTCTGACACCAGGCGGAGATATCTGCAGACCTCCAGGCTGGCATGGCATGATCCGATAGTCCCGAAGACCGCAAGTACTCCTCCCTGACTGGAGCTTCCGTGCCACTGGCCGTTAGCCGCAGCCACTTGCATGTGCCCTCTGCCTCAATGTCTTTGCAAAGCAACAGCTGGAATCCATGAGTGTGCTCCGCATTGCCGAAGCTGCCGTAAAGCAGCGTCTGAGCAGCAAGCGACAGTGCGGCCCTTGCAGACCTACATACCTGTACATTCTGCCTGCCGGCTGTCTACGAGCACGGCGAGCGCGGCCTGCAACTTGCCTTTGAAAGCGCTTTGCACTCCCGCTCTTTGCCCCGGGTCGTGGTTGCTTCCTGCATCAACTTCAAGGTCTGCCGACCAGCTACCCTTCCTGTCGGTTCCCATGGCCCTCCCCGGTTGAGGTGCTACCGCGAGGGCTTATGACGAGAAGCTCTTTGACGACATGGAGCAGTTGGGATATGTGATCAGGCAGGGCTGCTTTGGTGAGTGAGTCCCTTGTCGGCCGAGTGTGAAGATGTAAAGCAGCCCTGGCTCTGAGCTGCGGAGCAGTTTTTGCCATACTTTCCTATTATAGGTCTCTTGCACTTCGTCCATGATCTGGAAGCCTCCTGAACTCTGCCACTTCCCTTCTCCCCATTGCAGCTCGGGAGGACGAACCGGTGGATTTCCGGGTTCTATCCAGTCTGCATCATGATGCGGCTGCCACCGGCTTGCAAGCAGCGGCTTTCGGAGTCATGGCCAAGAAGGGTTGACAGTTCCCGACCCATTTTCGAGAGGATGGCCTCTGCCACGAGCAGCATAACCAAAGAGAATCACAAGTTGTTCTAACCGGTGCTTGGTGCTTTTTTCGATCACCATTATACGCCAAAGTGTAGAGCCCTACACCTCATGGTCTGAACGGGCCCAAGCACAGAAACCTTGAAGGTCCTAAACCTGGAAGCAAAAAGCCACGAAAGACACTTGCAGGGTTGCTCAGGACAGTAGGCTTGTCAATATTTTGTTTTCGTCTGACCTCGATAGTATTATAATAACAAACAAACAGATAAATATTAAAATATAAATATAAGTTTAAGTATAATATATACATATATATACACACATATTTCTATGTATATATATAAAAAAACATGTAAACATTCGTTCGCAATACACACATAGACATTTACATATACATATACATATACATATATAAACGCACATACACATCTGCATATACATCTGCATATACATGTGGTATATGTACCTATGTACCTTGCCAACCATATTATACGGACATTTACGTTTTTGTTTACTTTGTGCACAAATGTATTACTACATTTTAAAATTGTTCTTATTATTGCTAGTAGTAGTGGTAGTAGTATTGGTATGGTATCAGAATTAAGATAGCATTAGTTCGTGTTCGTACTTGTTGCTATATAAATATATTATGCTGGGTTATACAGCTATATCATACCATATCGTGTCATATCATATTCTCTTATATCATAGTATGTCATACCGTACAGTATAGTATGGCATAGTACAACATAACATAGTAAAGTATGGTATAGTAGTAGTACTAGTAGTCGTAAAACATAGTATAGTATACTATAGTAAAGTACAGTAGAGTATAGTATAGTATAGTAGAGTATAGTGTAGCTTAATAATAGTAGCATAGCATAGTAATAGTATAGTAACGTGTAGTATAGTGTCGTGTTGTATTGTATTGTGTTTCATTGTCCTGCATTCTATCATAGTGTATTGTATGGTATAGATAGTCTGTTCTCTACATACTTGTATGTTTTATATGCTTATACATGCAGAAAATGCAAATGTTTTCTGCCTGAGGTTCAAGGCCTTTGCGGCCCAGCCTCGCTTGGCCATTGTGACCAAAACGTTGGCGCTGGCCGCAAACGACCTCACACATTTTGGCATTGCCCTTTGCCAAATTTTAAGTAGCTTAGGATTTCCCGTTTTTGGCAGGAGTCCGGCGCATAAGACGGTAGCTAGTGTTCGGAGTCAGAATATATTCAGAGTCTCTGTGGTGTCGATGATGCTTTCACCACTTAGACAGCTTGGTGCTCTTTCGAGGTTCGAGGTCTAATGGCTTAATCCCCAGCAGTGGTCCTTCCCAAGAGTCTTCGAGGTGTTCCTGTCCATCTTCTTCGCCTACGTTGCGATGGGCATGGCATTCTTTGGAAGGGAGGTGGAGTCCTTTGCTTCGTTTGATCGGGCATCGCTTGCCCTGCTGCGTGCCCTGTGCCCTGACTTGATGGCCCAACCCGATGTGGTTTTTGATTGTAGTTATGCTGACTAGTCTGATGGTCGGGCCGACTATTACTGCCGTTCTCGAGATTGTTGTTCGGGAGTTGTGCTTTTCCAGCATAACTAGCACGCCATGATGCAAACCCTACGTCCTTGCACCTGAACTGAGCGTAAGCACAATCCGACCAACACTTGTCGACAGTATTGGCAGCAGCAGCAACGATAATATGACCGTGATGGTAATTCTGGGAAAGCTGCCCTAAACCCTAAACAGCAGACGGATTACCTTAGGATGGGCGACTTCAGTGTCGAAGACATGGAGTTGCGCGGACGGCCAGCCGCTTGCTGAACAGCTGCGACATATCAAGGATTTGAGGGTGTTGGGATTTAAGGGTTTAGGGTTTGAGGGTGTATTTAGGGTAGAGCAGAAACACAGGTAAGCCTTCTGAACTCTCGTTGCTGTTATCAACCTGTGGTCGCTACCTTGGTTGCCCTTGTCATCGTTATGATAACCAGGACCACACAGATCACTATCGTTGCTACAAGCACCCTGCTGTGGCCCGAGAACTGTTTTGAGTCATGAACCATGTTAAAACTTCTGTTGGGTTCCCTACTGAAGCGACGACCACAAGCACCTGCCTCTTACACTGTTACACGCACTGCGCTGTTGCCGGCCATGAACATGTTGTTGTCCTGTCAGCAGCACCGCGACTAGCACTGTTACTGTTGTGTCCAACGTTTCTTCTTGTTCTCACACGAGGGTAATGAGTAATGACTCAGAGCTGAAGCGACTGACACGATGGCTATTGCTGTTATAGCTGCTAGCATTGTTGTTTCTGTCACTATGAACATTGCACTTCCTGTTCGCAGCGCTGATGTCACTCATTTTCCTGGTCTTATCGGGACCACGATGAGATTGGACCCCAAACCCTATAGAAGGAAAGGTCATACCCTCAAGCTTGCAGGTTGCTTTCTTCTTTTTTGGCACCTACATGATGGCTGCCGTTTTGTTGCTGCTGAACATGCTCATTGCCATCCTCATGGACGTCTATGGGCAGGAGGGACTTTGCTTCCGTTAGGCTTAAGGGTTTAACAGGGTCTAGGGCAAGGGTTCGGGGACTTGAGCTTGTGCTGTAGATTTAGGCGAAGGGATGTAGGGTTTCCAGTGTATTTGTGCAGTCCGGAAGAGACACTGGTCTTTTGGCATCCCCCCTGATTTGTTTTGTATTGAAAGGTCCCCCCTACGGGGCACCCTGTAATGCATTGTTGGTCTGGTTATCCGGGAGAGACAGGGGTGAAAATGTATTGAAGAGTCCCCCCCAAACAAAGAACCTGAGGGATGAGCCGCAGGCACCGGGGTAACGCACGGGATTTTGCCTGCAGGGGTTCGCGTTTCCAAACCCACCTGCACGTAACCATCTGGACCTAGGGTTGTCTCGCAGAGTTTCCATGAACAGGGAGCCCCATGAGGAACGCTTCAAAGACTTGAGGTCCTTACTTTGGTTTTGTTAGGGGGAGAGGGTACTAGGGCGCGAGAAAAGCAGAGAACCGCCTGGCTTGAGCAGATTTGAGCAGTCTATGTCTGTCTCTGTCTCTTTATGCCTCTCCATGTATGTCTCTGGAAGCCACGCATGTCTGACGAATTCTGATTGCGATTCGGCGACTCTGTCTTGATTATGCTTTGCTGGCTGGAAGTACAACTCTTGACTCCCCCCCCACTGCTCCAATACGTTTGAAATGCAGGGGTTAATGTATTGCATAGCCCCCCCCACCCCCCTACCCGATACCAGGTACGTTTCCGATCAGTGGCTGTGGCAGTCTCTGGCACAAGGACATTTTCGACACCTTTCTGCTCAAGGGCTTTAGGGGTTGTGGGGGCTGAGGATCAAAGCATTTAAGGCAGTGAAGGTTGAGGACCTATTCGGAACACCGGGGCTGTCAGTTTCAGGGTTCGTGGTTGCGGTAGTTTAGGTTTCCTGCCTGAATGGAGCTTTACATACGGTCTTGGCTCCGTTTGTTCCTCGCTTCCAAATGCTACATGGAGACTTGTTCGTGGTTCAATTGCTTTGCATGGCTACCGTCGTCGCGCATCATGGTCCTCTCATTCAGTCGACAATACACATGCACAACTTGCAACGGCTACCTCTAATCAAGTTGGAGGAGATTCGGGATGATTGGGCACTGCATGTGAAGTCCTTGTAGATTAGGTAATTTAGTTCTCGCATTCATACTTTTGTAGATAAGCGTGCATAGCCAAATCGTTATGTCGTGCGTCGCGGCTGACAGATACTGAGTCCGTGNNAGAGAGAGAGAGAGAGAGAGGGTCTCCGGTTAACAGGCACTGTTTTTGTTGGAAAATAAGTACTAAGTACCGATATTCCATAGGGTCCCTTCTCATGATCACACAAAGAAAAGGAGCCCAAAACCCTGACTAATTGTTATTACCCCTCGAGTTCTAGAGTGTAGAGCAAGCAAGGATTGGGTGCTGCAGCAGCTGGAAAGCTGGATGTGCCCTGGCGCGCGTGAGCGATGCTTTGCAAGACCGTGATGGTTTAGCTCGTCTCCGAGGCATTTCCAACCTACCGTCCAGCTCTTGTTCGTGCAGCAGCAGCTCTCCAGGCAATTGGATGTGGCATGTTAGTACCTTTGTTGTTTGTTTGAGATTTTGGGTTCAGTTTTCGCCTCAAGCTTGGCGGCCCGTAAACCGTAAACAAGCCCTAAGACGGTAAGGTTCAGGTCTTCGGGGCCTATATATCACAGTTGGGGTTTAGAGGGTTTGGGTTGCGGGGAGTCGCAGGTGGGTCAATGGGGCTCTTGTGGCATAAACCTTTAGGGTCAATGTGAGTATTTTCTCAAAATAGTGCCAATACCACAATTAGTAAACTAGCAATGCTAGTGGTCCTAGTACTAAAACTAGCACCATTTTAACCATTTCAACCATTTCATCCGTTTTGAAATAGTTGAAATGGTTGAAATACTATAAAGTTTACATCCATTTTAACAATTTTAAATGCTTCGGGCTTCACCGGGAGCCGCAGGGCAAAAATTCCATCAATTTCAACTGTTTCATCCATTGTTAAATGGTTGAAATGGTTAAACTGATTGAAACAGTTGAAACGGATAAAATTTTTCACCGTTTCAACCATTTCATCCCGTTTGACATAGTTGAAAGGGATGAAATGGATGAAATGTTTCACCGATTGAAATTGCTATTTTACAAGCGTGTGAGTTTAGTTATAGTGTAATCTTGCAAACGGAAAAGATATGAAGATCAAAAGATTAAGTTAATTACGTGCTAGAAATTGAATACAATTGCTAAGGTAAAAAAGACAAATGATTTCCTCACGGTCTTGTTTCCATTAGATTAAACTGAGTCTTTTCCCACTTCCGAAAAGAACCACAGAATCAGCTCTATGTTTAGTTTGGATAAACGAGAATAGAAACAAAAGGTAGAACTAAACGAACCTAAGAAGATAATGATAATGCCATGAGAAGCAGAATGAACCGTTCTTGAATGCTATGTGTTAATTAAATTACGCAATTCACAACGGGAAGAGGGAAAAGACTAAGTTTATAAGGAATGATGCGTGAATTATTTTTCCGCTTCGTTCGTTTCACTGTTATGCTTTAGTACAATGGAAAGATGGGGATGCGTGAATAAAGCGTAACAGAGTGAGAACGAAAACAAGGGGGAAATGAAGAACGCATCACTTGTTTCGTTTGCTTCATTTAATTTTTCCCTTTTCAATTCGTGCTTCCACTCCGTTCACTTTGTTCACGATTCCATTATAATTGGAAACAGTACAAAAGAATGCCGCAAGAGAAACAAGAGAGATTTGTAAACTATAGAGGACCCGTTCCTATCTGGTATGTCTTCCTCTAGCTGATACACGTATTACTAGTGTTGTTCCTGGGTTCGTGTTTCGTTCTTGTGCTTTCTTCTCGCAAACTCGTTTCATTGAATCAAAAGCACAAGCGAGAAGCACTCTTTACTTTCTATAACTATAATGTAAGAAATAGGAAAGAATCTGTGCCTTATATTGCTCTTGTTTAATGATAACTGAACGAAGTGAGAGCATGCATTAAACAAGAGAGGCAACATAGACACAACATTTCGTTCGTTTGTGTTTCTGTTTAATTTAAATTAGCCATGCGTTCAGTTCTTTTGTTTATTTAACTTACTTAAAAACAAAGAACTCTCTTTATATATCATCTGAGATAATAGGAAGGAACTGAGGACGAACGAATCCTGGCGGCCCTTGGATGTAATTAATAACAAAGCAAGCAAGGGTAAGGAAAAATGACGTCCTCCTACTACTACTACTACTGCTGCTACTGCTACTGCTACTGCAACTGCAACTGCAACTGCAAC